TAAGTACCATAGCTTTTCCCCTTTAATGATAATTCAACTTCCCACTTCAGACCAAGTGGTTGGGGATGCTCACCCCACAACAGGATCGCCACTACGCATAGCCAGTATTCGTCCCACCGAGTCCCACACACCAGGACCTTGCCGCTTTTGGAGCTGTCCCTCACAGAACCGAAGAAGTAGCCTTCTTCTCACCCTTTTTCACTTCAGTCTAAGTGGCCAGGGACTGCCTCCTGAGCCAGGCCCACCAGTACGCATGCCCACTCCACACCCTGCAAGGCTTCCAGTGTCAGGCGTCTCACCCAGGCCTCCTCTACCCCGAATGCGTCCCTGACACTGTGCCCTGAGCTTGACGTTTGGGGGAGATCCCATATTTGCAGACTGACACTTACAGCAGACCTGTAGGAGGAGCATGGACTCCGTGAGCACGGACTCAGAAGGGGGGAAGCCCCTTTGCAGAAGGAGGGACTCAGACCAGACAGGGGGGGTACTCTAGTTGATTTCAGACTGAGGTCCCCAAAAATATTTACAGGATATAAATAGGCCCACCAGTAGTCACAGGAGACAAGTTCCAGGGTTTTCCACTGCCCTGGGTGTCCTGTCGCCTGTGCGTCGTGGTGTAGCCATACCAGGTCATGGCGGAGCTGCAGGTCATTTGGTATGTATACCCTCCCCTGGTACAGGACCAACTCTCCTTGCTTCTCCCATTCATCCAACCTCAGTGTCCCCCCTCCCAGTTCCTGCATGGCTTTCACTACCCTCTCATCATGGTCTTTTGCCTGACATATCCTTTCCAGAATGCCTGCCTCTTCACCCTCTACTGAGATCGCCTCCGTCACCCAGGCTTCAAACCAGGTTGGCTGGAGGAGGGTTAACCCCTCGTTGTCGTCTCTCCCCTTCAGGTGGTCAGCCCATCGTGAGAGTGCATCTGGTTTCCCCATAAGTTTCCCTGGATGGTGGACGAGGGTGAAGTAGAAGTGGGAGAGGAAGAGGGACCACCGTGCTTGGCATCGGTTCAGCCTCTGAGCCGTGCAGAAGTACCCCAGGTTGCGGTGGTCTGTGTAGATCTCGACTTTCTCTCTGGCACCTTCTAGAAAGTGCCACCACTCCTCAAGGGCTCGGACAATCATGAGCATCTCCTTGTCGTACACCTTGTAGTTGCATTCTATGTCCATAAAGCTTTTAGACATGAACACCACTGGGTGGAACTCCCCATCCGACTGGAGCTGGGAAAGGACTGCACTGGTCACTGTCATATCCGTGCATACCCGATCCCAACCTGACTCCCAGACCTCCTTCTTCACCACCTCTGGAGTCCTACCCTACTGCTGTCCATTCTGATATTCACCTTCGGTCCTGGCACCACACCTCCTCTCACCCCCCATGCCACCTCCACACCTCCGTCCCTCTCCTGTCCTATCTCCGTCCACTCCGATACTCACCTCGGACCGAACACCACCCCTCTCGCCACCCTATTACTACTCCTCCTCCCACTCCTCCGCTCCCCCCTCACAACACCTCCACCCTTCCATCATCCTCCTACTCTTCTCCCATCCGCTCCAATACTCACCCTTGGACCTGACAACTCTCCTTTCCACCACTCCTTCCTCCTTCCCTCTCTCCTCTCTCTTCCCCCTGGTCCTCTTCTGCCGACCTCCTGCCAAGTTACAACCTTCTGCCGCTGTCCTGTACTTTGTACTCAGGCACTGCTCATACCTTTGCTCCAAGCCTCCATCATAGCTCCTACCTCGGACTTTGACTCCACCTTGGCCTTAGTCCATTGCATTGGTGACCTCATACTATGTAAACACCATTGCCAATATTCCTCAGACTTTCAACCCCACCTCCATAACCTCCATAACCTCTGCAACCTCCGAGCTCCATGGATCTTCTTCAGCACTTTCGCCACTTGTAATGTATCTCTCGCATTTTCCCCTCATCCCTATTTGGACTGCTGCTTCTTCCTATTCTAGCCAGTTAGTCATCATCCCCACTTCCCCTCATCCTCCTGCCCCTCTGGGCCTCGCCCTCCTTACCTCCTTTTGGATGTATCACAGGTTCTGCCTTATGACCTTCGGTACTGCTCCGCTTCTGTCATCCCTTTGTTCCCATTCAGACGCCTTTGTTCCCATTCGGATCCCCTTTGTTTCCTTGTGCTTTCACCCCCTCCATTATATATATCGGCACTTGTACATACTCGTTTTAGTCCTTAGTCTAAAATCAACCTGAAATGCCCCCTAGAGACTTCCTGCTTGCCTACTGTGAAATTAAGGACCAAATGGACAAACAGCAATGGCACAGCACTCCACTTGAGTCACTGAGGCCAAGGTCCCTCCTTGCTAAGTCTCCGGTTCCCCTCCAGAATCGTCCACCCTTGCCCAGTTCTAACATAATCCTTCCTAATTAATAGTCCACCATATTCTCATCTAGCTGCCCTCAATTTGGTTTCCTCTACAGGGTAGTGGGGCACCAGGTGGAGTGGGGCCAGGTGGAGGTGGGTCAGGCAGGTGTGCCCTGACACCATGGTAACATCTCCTGCATACTCTGTCAGATATGACAATCACAGTGATTTTAATTCTCTAAGTCCTTGCTCAGCTGACAAAATAGAACCCTTCACCAAGTTCCATCCAAAAGAGTGGAGGCTCTGAGGGAGCTCACATACAGGAGCCTCAGTAATAAGGTTCCCAACCCCCCAAAGGTCAACCTCTGCACCATGACCATCCTTAAATACTTGTGGTGCATGTGTTTCAGAATCCAAATTGAGGGCTGCTTTTGTTGGAGGGATTGCAGCATCTTCCCAGTCAATGAGGAACCACTGCTTGGAATTGGTGAGGTTTTGCATGACATTTGGCCAGCGAATATCTCGATGAAATACTGGTGGCTCAGTGTGTAATACCTGCAGACTACATGAACTCAAACTAATGGTCCAATATAAATACTTACTTGGAGAACCTCAAGAACACAGATGACTGCATTTTTAACATCTTCAGCAGACTCTGGACCATGGTGGTTACCTCGAGGTGCAAGTTCCACAAAGCAACCATATTCTGGATGGGACATTCCAAATTTCATAAGGGTGTCAACATTTGGCACACTTTTTGCTTTGAGTTTTCCATATATAGATTCAAGAAAGGAAATCTTGAGTCCATCTTCTATGGGATAAGTCTTCCGTATCTTGTCCCGGAAAAATTCAATGCATTTCCTATTTTCACTGGCTTCGCAGTTAGGTTCATGCAAACAGGATACACAAATGACACTCACCGACCCAATAGAAACATATCAGTATCCACATCTCTGTCCACAATACATTCTAATGCCCGGAGAACCTTGACGAGTCTGATCATCATTGTCGCATTTCTAATACGTCCCTGCCTTGTTGACAGATCTGCCTTTAGAATGTCTTGTACAACAATTTTTTGGATCCCCTGTGCATTTATGACTGGCTGGATAGCTACAAGCGTGATATTAGCACCAATGGCATAGTAGCCTAAATACATGGGTCAACAACAGGTGGTGTTGGAGAAGAATCACATACCGAGCACATATGGAGCACGACCATAGGCCCAGCGAGTCTTGTCAACAAGCTCCTGACGAGGATGTTTTCCGAAGAACGATGGACATTTCTCCTCCCCCCGGAATAAGCAGACCGACTGCAAAAGGAGACCCAAGCCAGGGCGGAAAGATCCAGTATTCGTGCCACGGTTGTTGTTGCGTATCCACTTGAGTTTGCCAAGACCGGCCTTGAGGATTTTCAGAATGTTTTCGTCCCAGAATGAAATGAAAGAGCTTTCAGTTCCATCTGAGTCCGGTGGAGGGCCGTGAATTGCCACATCTAATAGACGCCAGACGAAGCTAGCCGTCTCGTCCTCATTCTCGATGAAGAGCATCTCCAGGTCTGCTGGAAAACAAAGAAGCTCAGGACTACGTGGATCTGTGTGCAGGAGGCTCCGCCATTGCGGATGGGAAATCGGGATTTTTTCTTCGGTCTCAAGAGGTGCGTCCAGATAGACACCCAAATCGGTAACATTCAGAAGTCTTGGGAGGGGAACGTTCCATTTAAGGTACAGTTTTGCTGAAATATCGACTGCAGACGAGTGAGGAGTTTGGCCATAAAATACAAAGTCGCAAAGACCTACCCGATTCCTCACGCTTCCTCTTTCTATCATGAGGCACTTGGACGATGAGATGGAGATCGCTTTCCTCGGGACCGTCCTGCCAGTATCTGGATATCTTTTGTGCAGGGCTGAGAACCTGCACGGGGCCATTCCCCTCCAGCGCCTCGGAGCGTGCAGGATTAGGGAACTCAATTGCTTTGATCCTTTGATTAAAAGTTGTGGCTTCGGCTTCTGTAACCCCCGTTGGTATTGGTGGCGAGAGCTTCCACAAAACCAGCTGGTCTGCATCCAGGTGATCCAGTTGGTGGGATTTTTCAGACTTGATAGCCCTGCGAAGATGGCTAACCAATGCACGAGGCGACACATCCATAACAAACACGGTACCGAGGGGGTTTCTTCCGCGGTCAACCGCCAAGCAGGTAAGAGTGATGGAAGTGGCCATGGGCAACAAGCGTTCGCTCTGAGCAGTAAATTGCACAATGCCAACTTCGCCAAATAATCAGTAACCATAATTGTATTGACAGTAGGAATAAAGGCTTCAAACGCACAACGGCCTAATATTAAGCAGTCACAGAGGATGGAGGCCTGGCGATGAATGCTGACGTCACAAAAAATGACTCAATCGGCTTGCACCGAATATTGACCATAGCCTCAAACTAATCTCTCACGCCAGGAAGAATAGTAACACCAGCACCTGCAGAAATAGATCCATTCTCCCAGCCCAATCACAATGCCCCGGGCTAGTACGATTTCATGAATATTTTTGCGGTGTGCCGGGACACGAGTTCGCCCAACGACGATCGCAACCTGTTCCGTGGGGCGATTGGTGGCACCAAATCCAACGAGATGCCTGAGCCGAATGAGGCGTTATGGCTTCTTTCACTCAGTGGGCACCCGTGAGCACCGGAAGGTGTTGTGCTATACATTCCATGTTACGCTGCCAACCGTGACATCTCTACGACCCAGCCGTTTGCACGCTTACAGGCCTCACTCGTGTTGCTGTGAATTTTCGTAAAACAAAATTTTCGCGCTGTTTAACTTCGACCGTAGGCTTGTTGGGTTACCCAGCACTGGTGGCGACGTCGAACCATCGTCAAAGCAAGATTATCAACGCAGCGCAGGCTCGACATCAGTGCCGCGAACGCGAGTGGAGACCGAATGCAAATATTTCGTCGCGAAACTAATGATAATTCGCGGTTTCCGAGCAACGGTGTAATGTGAACGTACGATTCCCAGAGGCATTGACAGCCCGTTCGGGCTCCGGTGGACCGTCGTGCTCGACGGCACAGGTACATCGGCTTCGGGCGTGGCTCGTCGGTTTGGGCTTTGGCATTGATGGATGCGGTGCAGTTTGGCGGTTTTCGTGAGTGGTCAAACGCACTGTTCTCGAAGCGCTTCGCCCCCCGACAAGCAAATCCGGAGCCTTACCGCTTGGATGGAGCGGACATGGTATCATATTCGATCTTGGTGCGTTTGGCTTTTTTCTTATCTTATCCTCATTGCCGACGTCCTGATGTTTTGTTCAGACGTCATTTATGTGTGGTGAAATTGCCCAATATCGGCAGCGTTCAACGCTCGCCCTTTAGCTTACCTCGACACAGCCCACCCCACCCGACCAGTATAGGTGTGATGAAATCGCCACACGCTAGCAGTGTTCATCTCACCTCTTTTCTCGCACCAACCCCCATCCTGTCGTTTCGGCTCCATGCATCTTCGGTCGCTTTCGCTATGCCACCTACCGCCCATCCTGGCATGCCTCGCTTCCAACAACATTTTCACGAACCCCTTTCTTTTTTTCAGGTACAATACTACCAAGGTGCAAAAAAAAATCGTGCTGATGTTATATACCATAGTGGTGGTGGTGGCAGTGGTGGAAAAGGCGCCAAAGGTTTACCATAAATGATTCCAGTATCTAAATATCAAATGACAAAACTCATTAGCCCCACGAAAAACAACCACACTCCACATTATGAAATCAGAACTGAAAATGTTAATGGTTATCTGCACACCACGCTGGCCTCAGGCCGCGTTACTCAGCAGGACTAAGGTCGAATCATCACATCATGAGACAGGAGGTTTGATACTCACCCGTGACACGAAGGCCGCGGAAACCAAGACATTCCTTGATGTCAATCACATTTGGACAATGTTATGGGGAGCGAGAACCACTGGATCTGAAATTCATGTCGCTTAACCGATCGAACAATAACAGCCTGCTCTTCAGCTGGCTGGTTAACGTGAATAACACCTATACCGCCCAAGAGCTGTTATCAAACAAGACACTGTCATATCAACAAATGAATCGTAACGAGAAAAATTGTTCTTAGAAGGATAAAATCGATTGGACTCCAAGTAGGAACAACTCACAGCCATCTCAGTCACCGTGTCCATTGGACTGCTCGGAAAGGGAGTCTTCGAAATCCCGAATAACCCTACCCTCCGCGACAACATCCTGAGCCGCGAAGCCTATTTTTTCCAGGCAACATGACAAAATCGTCGTATGTGAAGCCACCATTCTTGATCGAGTCGATGAGCTCAGCTGCAGAAAGCCCATCTTGTTGTCATTCATAATTTTTTAGCTCACCAAAGGATCCAGGTAGGGGGAGCGAGCGAAATGTTCGGCATGGCGCTGCAGGAGGGGTGAAGTGGCATAGGCATTGGATCACCTTATATCCGAAATTTGAATCCGGTTTGGCTGGATCGCCGGTGTCGTTTTTTTCCCACCCCTGCCCTCGGCGCTCTCACGAGCAGCCTAAAGTTTGCAGGATAAATATCCAGAATAAACAACAACAACAACACGCAGCTGTGTTGGATTGATACGTTGTGGTGTTGTTGTACACGCACCAAGGCGTTTAGAAACCATGCCTAGGACACCAAGGAATGATTCTCTTATCTGGTTTTGATCATCGTTACCCCGAAGCTTCCTTGACCTCCGCTTGCTCACCCGTGTCATGCGTGTGTATACAGCTGTGCATCAGATGGCTCCCACCCGCACACAGCCTCGACTGCTGGAGTCCCGTGCATAGCACAGAAACCTGTCGCAATGCCATTCTTTGTAAGACTGAAATATGATTCCAAGGTGATGTCTCCTATCCAGAGCCCGGTACACGAGAACGAGCCGGACTTCGGCTGAAGAACAAGAAAGTACCAGAGCATCATTGGGTGCTACTTAAGCATCATTCCTGTGACTTATAAGGTGTGAACTATAAGACCTCAATATCACGTCCGGAATGACACCTGGGCCCTCTGCAGGCTATCGCAAATGCCATCGGTGAACGCCCACCCCGCTCAGGAGCACACATAAATCTCGTTACCCGTTCAGATTCCCACCTTCCCGCAGTGGGTACAGCGGTTCGTTCCAACCCATTTGCGTCTTTCGTTCCATGCCACCGGGTCATTGAATCAAATCCTGGGATTTTTCAATGAATCAGGGATAGTAAGGTCTCAAGCAACCCAGTGAAGTCATGAGCCCCTCTTAGAGGTGTTCGAGCTTTTTCCCATCACCCGTGCCTTTCGGGTACGTGAAAAATTTCATGTTGTGATTTCGTCGACGTTGCGTCTCGTCCGGCCTTCCCGAGCCACGCACTCCCTGTCCTCCTGGCCATGGTCCGGCATACTTACCTTATCGCAAACCACTGTGCGATACCGGAATTGGTCGTTGACGTTAGGGCAGAACATGTCAGATTGTCAGCGCAAGCGCAAGAAGATCAAGGGGTTGATCAGCATGCACCAGGATTTGCTAAATTACTTCAATAGATGCAGCAGTAAAAGAGGCCATCAAATGGGTCCAGTGTAAAGGGGTGGAACAGGCGCTGTGAGTGTAAGGGGTGGGAATCCAGACCCCCAATCAGGAATATTGCCCACGGCCACACCTTATCATCTCCAACGATCTCTCGCCTTGTCGTCGAACATGGTTACTTACGCAATAGCCGATCCTGCCTACAAGGGGCCTGAGCCATGCGGCATAATGGCATCCACGAATTGATATTTCAGCCAACATACGAATCAAATACACCCGTGTGGCAATTACCCCTTGGTGCCCCATGCAATTATGGGAGGTGACGTGCGGGGTGTGAACTTTCCGAACGTCCATCGTGACCAGTAGTCAGTTCGCGCAGAAGCCCGCATACTATGGCTCAGAAATTCTTGCAAGTGAAAAGGCCTTCATCTGTCTGATAGATATAGAGACAAAGGCAATTTCCTTCTCTTAAGAGTGCTTGTCCGAACAATACTTGATTGCAAATATTGTCATTTGGGGGTAAAGCATCTTATGAAAACCACAAGGGCAGCGTTCTGCCTACCACCCCACCCAAATCTTCCAAATGGAAGGTAAAGGACCGTCCCAGATGAGAGGTTTCCTTGTATCAACGGGTCGTTCTGGCCAAGCATTCAACAATCCGTCCCAGAGCTCTACATCCGACACCCGCACGCTGGTGGCATTCGTTCCGCCTGAAGACACGAAGCCCACACCCTTCGAGGCGGCAAGCCAAGGGTAAGCTCGGGTAGTGATGACAGCTTGGTCGTTCGCATAGACTTCAACGATGGAGCCATCAACAAAGACAGAGAGAACAAGGGGTTCGGGCGAACTTGTACCCCCCTTTTTCGAGTTAATACGGTAGAGGCGGAGCTTAGCATACTCGGCTTCGTTCCCATCTATCAGGTGAGATAGGTAAGCAAGACAGGAAAATGACGAGTGCTAAAGACAACGCACAGGAATTGATGAGAGAGTGATGATCACGTTGGACAACAATGGACTCATTTGCGGGGTCGTAGTACACGTCGGTCCACTCGGAATCGCTCGCAAGGACCCTAAATCCGACCATTGGCAAGGTGTTAAACTCACGGACCGGAAAGTTGAATGTGCCCATGACAGCGTAATGCTTTCCCGATGGCTGGATGGCGAACGGAACGTATCCTCTATTTGCACTGAGTATGCGAGGCTGGGGTTTACTAATGCGTGATGCTGCCTTGTAAGCGCCTAATATCTCAGGGATGACTCTTTGCCCCAGCGTAACTACTGATATACTGCCATCTGGTTCAGTGCGCGTGCCCCAGCTTGACGGCTCGTGGAGGCCAGGCATAGTAGAATCAACATTCCTAATGACCTTCACAAAGAGGTCTCGGTATAGCGTGAAGGCACCTTGGTAGCCTCGCTGCTTCGTCAAGACCAGATCCTCATCATCTTCCTGTGCCCATTTCATAAGACATTATGCCAACAGCCAGGGGAGGTACTCACGTATGTCCATCCAACCATCACCATGCGCTTCCATTTCCCCTTCGTTACGGGGAAGAACGTAAACGCATAGGCCCTCCCCCAATCCAACACCCCAGCAAACTTGATCGTACTCTGTACCGATCCATCGGCTACATTAAAGTCTACCGCACTCCAAAGAGGCCAATGATCCTCGTGCGTGCCATCCCTCCCCAACTCTGTCCCATAAGTGATAATGTCCAAAGCATCCGGGTCTGTACCAGCATCAGTAGCATGTCCGTGCTCATTCAGACGGGTAACCGCGGCCGTCTCGAAGTTAGAGCCAGCGTTACCTGACCAAGGACTGAATGAGCCCCAACGCGAGAGTGAGACGACAGGGCCCAGGTACGTCCATTGAGTCACATCATCAGGATAGGTCTGGCGATAAAGGAAGAGGCGAGGCCCTCCATCGGGATAAGCTTCTGGACGGAGACCGCTCGATATGGCTATAAGGATGTAGCAAGGTGAGCAGACCAAGAATAGGGCCGAAGAGCTGGGAACAGTTTACTAAGAAAGTAATCTCCGGAGAGGAGAGACGAATTTCCTGGCGCCGACTTTCTAAGAAGTCGGGAAAGAATCGGCGACTCGAACGCATACGGATCTCGGAACCCAGTCAGATTCGTCATAGGCCATTTATCTGAGTCGGAGTTTAGATGAAGTGATTCCTAACAACAGAAGCAACGACGCTCACAAATAACTGGATTGACACCAAAATTCAGTTTGACCCAGGTTGCACCCCCATCAGTTGTGTATGCGAGAGCTTGCGTCTCGGTTCCTTCTTGCTCCGGAGGTTGTACGTCTGCCCCAAGAGGGAAAACAGTCGTCGCTGCGTAGATGGTTGTCGGATAGCTGTTCCAACCTTTGATTATCATGCTACCGTCAAACACGCCTCGAATGTCGTAAACTCGATCAGGATACTGGCGTAGAATCGAGTGAGCACGATGGAAAATTGGTGCGACCACAAACTAGATCTACCATCGTCCGAGGGTCTTCCCAGCGAGGCAGATCAATCCAAGTGACTAGATCCTTTGAGTAGGCAGAGCACTGGCTAATATTCCCCCACAGAAGATGCTGGGGATTACATTGATATCCAGCATGGAACGATCCATCAGCACGTTGAAAATGGCCTTGAGGGTCATTTTGCCACCCCTCGGGGGCGATGAACCTAGCCTTGGGCCGCCAAATGAAAAAGAGGGTACTGTTCCCGCAGGCTGTGAGATCACCAGGGGGCTTGGACTGATCAAGGCTACAGGATGAGTTGTTAGCTCTACCAAAAGACCCCCTACTCCCCAGGCCAGGGGTGTCCCACAACGGGAAGAGGGCATTCACGGCGACCGCCAATGACACCAGTTGAAGAAAATGGTACATTGCAACTTTCCGCACCCAAGCCAAACGTGAAAGGCTATTGAGGATAAAGGCGATGGGGGGTTTTAAGAGACGTTATCGGGGTAGCTGTGGAAATCCCCGCAATACATCCATATTCCATATCGCAACCATGGGAATGGGAGCGGAGAGGGAAAACGTCGGCCAGCCGACAAGTTGAAGAGTAAAAATTGAATTGAATGACCAGTTCTGATTGATTCGCTTCGTGACCAAGCCTCGATCCCAGCAAGGTGTTTTTCCGTGGATCCTCTGGCGCTCTGGCAGTATATCCTTGTTACACGGGTGGGACGGCCACGCTTATGCCTAGTTCAGCTTTTTTGGTCGAGCTGATCAGGGAATCGTCAAAGACGCTTGAAAAGCAGAGGGAGGCGGAAGAACGAGGAAGTCGACGTCGCACTTACTCTCTCAGGCACTTCCTCCCCTTACTCCCACATTTGATGTACAGATGCCCACGGATCTCATAGATAGCTGAGAAATTCGCCACACTGAGCTGGCGTCACTGGGCTCTTTGGTGGGCGGCGTGTTCGGTGTAACAATTTCTCGCCTCTGTATTCATTTGAGCCTGCCCCCAGAGTGATTATGATTTCCCCTTTGATGGCATGTGCTCTCCGGCGCGAACGTCGTTAGAAGCATTCACGCATCTTCCTCTACAATCATAGAAGCTAGAGGCTGGAGTCCTATGAAAGACGCAGACATGTGACCCCTTTTTCAAATGATGTGCCATCTTGAATAACACACTTTCTTTGACTCGATCTCGTTGAAGCAGCTATTCGATCGTGATGAGTGTAACGATAGGTGTCTTAGGTGCCGCATACTCATTTGCCTCTACTACAATGGGCCCTGCGGCTCTATCCATGTATGTGCGCACACTTACGATTCTTCTACAGCATTGCAAGGTGCATTCGCAGAGCACATCTCAGCCCTCACACGGTTTTCCTCTCCATCCACTTCTGCTTCCCTCAAGACATGCATTCATCCGATCCCCGTTAAAACTTGTTCTGATCTCCTACGGTGTGAAGCACTTATCATACCTGGTGGAGAATCCACGACGATGGCTCTCCTGGCTAGACTGAATGGTCTTCTGGAGCCTTTGAGAGATTTTGTGAAGAGTGGGAAGCCTGTGTGGGGGACGTGTGCTGGAGCGATCTTGCTTGCCAATGGGGGTGTCTGGGTGGGAAAAAAGGTGGGCAGGAATTACTGGGTGGTGTGGACATCAGCGTGGAGAGGAATGGATGGGGGTCTCAGGTGTGTTGTCCTCGTTGTTATTTTTTCATATTTCTCGACTGACGATGAGCCGATAGTTGGAGTCTTTCGAGACTGAATTGCATATGATCGGAATTCGAAACGAGGATGTGCCATTCCGAGGAGTCTTCATTCGTGCACCCGTGAGTCCCAGTGCCATCTTTCCCTTTCGTGACAATCTGATATTGTCATTCGATGCGTAGCTCATCCTTTCTCTCACGTCGACCGGTGGCCCCGATTCAGAACCCATAACCATCCTCTCCCGAATCCCACTCTCTCACCTCCCAAATTCGCGCATTCAGTTATGGACCGCCCCTGAAAATGGGCCTTGCCGTCGACTGTCAGAAGATGACCCTCGCTTGATCGTCGCGCTACGCCAGGGACGGAAACTAGTGACAACATTCCACCCAGAATTAACCTTGGACGATAGGATCCTAGAGTATTTCGTTAAGAATTGCGTACTTGACGATCCGGAAGAGGCGTTGGATATTTAGTAGGAATGCGATATTAAGCTTTGGATATAGATTCATAGACTAATTTTAATCCCAACTCGTTCATTTAGCCCCCAGTGGGGACGCGCTATAGCTTGTCATATTAATAGCAAATTTGTTCCAACAGATTGATTCAGGAACCGTACCTCGTCGCGCAGATGAATTTGGATATTATATGACTGTGGGCGTCGTTGCGGGATGTGCCCGCCACGCAGTGCTTGGCCAGGGGCCCACTGTTTCTGGTTAGGAAAGCGAGGCGACAGCTAGAGGAGATAGTGAAGCCACTGGCAGTCCAATCCTATACTCACCCCACATAGGCACAGCCACTTCAAACTTGCTCCGCAAGCTGTATGCAGAGCAGGTCACCTGTTGGAATACAGTGGGTTTGAGTGGAGCTTAGACATGGAGCTGGGATTCAAAGGATTCAGAAAGCGAGGAGATAGTAAAGGATCTAAAAATAGATCGTCGCATGTCATCATGAATCATCGCTTCGCCAAATAGTTTTTTACGCGACATCGCCAGCCGGTACTTGTGAAGCGAGTGTCAAGTTATGTAGCTACGCGAGCGCGCGGGAGAGCGCTTCTCGTAGCTCCTAGAATGTGTGGAGTGGAGAACATTGCATGCGGTAACCGCGCGGTCTTGCTCGGTTCTTTCATCTATCTACAGAGGCTGGTATCTTGCCTAGTTCCTTCACTGCGCATCCATATGTAAATGAAATGAAATGAAGAATATCTTGCCCGGTTGCGCTGCGCTGTCAGATAGCATGTTGATACATTCACCATTGAATCATTGGTAGTTCAATGGTTGAACACGATTAAAATGGCAATGCGATCGAGACGGGTTGGCCCTTATCAGAGAAGGTGCGGGAAAACAGTGATATTGGTTCCTGGTACAAAATGACACCGGCCTCACCGTTTTCCAGCGATGAAGGGCAGGCTGGATTGAGCGATCTTGACGTTCTCGCCAGCGTCGGCCTTTTTCGCTCATTTGTCATTCAATAATTGAATTGAAGGAGCGCCTTATGTAACTTCGGATAAATTAAATTCGAGAAATTGCTTACATAGCCACAATTGAACGGGCGGTGGCGACGGGGCTTGATCGCCATATATAAATAAGAATCATCACATGACTTGACAAACCGCAGCCTCGCTAAAATCACCGGCCTATAAGCCTCAGACCCAACTTGTCCGTTGATCCTTTGCTTACACCTCTTCGTTCCAGTCCTTCTACTTGGACTGTCTCCTCCTCGTCTTCTTTCTCTCTGCTGTGCAGGTTCCTTCGTTTCTTGCTCCGAGTTTACTCTCAGACCCCTTGAACTGTATGTACTTGGTTCCACATACGTAAAACATCTGCGTCCTCCGTCTCACATCTGTCTCGCCCACTTCTCGCAGTATTAGATACTCTCTCATCCTCACCCTTCCCCCATGCCACACCACGCGCGCAAGGACGTCCACCACCACCGGTATAAATCTGCCGATAGTCCGGACTTTGAAACGATTTCGAAACAGTCCATTTTCGGCGCTTTGCTCTCTCGCACCTTGCCACAGTACCATGGCCCCCTCCCAGTTGGCGTTTGTGACATCGAGGTACCGGTACCTCACCAAACATTCGGCAGCTTCAAGAGTAAGAGGCTTGGGAGTGATGTCCATGGTGCGGTGGCTTGAGTTTGGACACTGTTCTGTTTTCGCTCTTCTACCCTACAAGTCAGACGGAGAGCAAAGAAAAAGTTGTATGGTTCCCAAAGTGAGTGGTTGTCGTCTGGAAATTATGATCTGGTTGCGAGCGCGGCTAATTGATCAAACCCCGTAGTTTGCCTCAGACTATTGACGGTTTCTTACGAATGGCACGTCGAACACCTAATTGGCTCTATCGGGCTTTAGCATGTAAGTCCTCCCCTCCTCCGTGTGTATCTTGATCAATTCACGCCGGCGGTACATTTCAATCCTCGCAGACCCAATAGCTGCCGCTGCAATTTACGGAACTACATTCCCCGCGATACCCAATGCCCCTTTTCTTCCCCCACCTTCCATCCCAGAGGACCCACGTATAAATGGCCATTGGTCATATTTTCCCATGGTGTCGGATGTAGTCGGTTGATGTACAGTACCTTCTGTGGTGAGATGGCTAGCAGGGGTTACGTCGTCTGTGCGATCGAACACCGTGATGGAACAAGTCCGAGTAGTGTGATCGTCATGGAGGATGGAAAAAGCAAGAAAGTCAATTTTGTTTGTCATCAGGATCTATTGTGAGTTTATTTTCCTGCAGGGCTCCCCGTTTGACGGGATCATTTATGTTGACTGATTGTTGCATTTTGCATTTTTACTCATTCGATCCAATCGGCGTGTCAAATTCCGCCATGGTGCTGCGCTCATCTTGCCCGACCGGCTCCACCGGTTCGTACTCGGCGTTCCGAATGATTCATTCGGCGATTATGTTCTACTTAAATCAGTTGGCCGGATCTCCCACCCCACGCTCAACCCCCAGACGACACCCACCTCCGGCACGTCCAACTTCGAATGCGTCTGGCCGAAATCGAACATGTCATCGCCGTAATGCGTTGTGTGACATCCGGGGAGTGTTCAAAGAAGAAACCGGACGTTCGAACGTCAGTTGGTAAAAAGCAAGAGTACGATTGGTCGAAATGGACAAATGGCGTTGATTGCAGGAAGGGGAAGGTCATTATGAGCGGACATAGTCTTGGGGGGAGTGCGGCCATCTTGGCCTGTGCGGAGAAAAAGAGGTTCGATTTTGCGAGTGTTATTGCTATGGATCCCGCTATCCAGCGTGAGTCGGTTCGGATGTGATGATTCGCCGTGGCGAGAACTGAAGTTACTTTTTTTTTTGCTTTAGGGATCGATCCTTGGAGGTCTAAGCTTCCTTGCCCATTGTTGGTGGTTAATTCGGAGGAGTTTACGCGTTCAGATGATTTCCCAAGGTTACAAAGGCTTTGCCGGTATGCTCAGAAGGGCGAAGGCGTGTTCTCGATAGGTACGCCTGTCATACGGTTCCATTGACTAGCTAGCCGCTAAGTAAGAACCACAATTTTTCGACCAGCTGGCTCTACGCACCCTTCATTCTCCGATGTGTTCCTCATTGTTCCTGGGATTATCAACCGAATGATAGGCCTTAGCACCGAGTCGCCTCGGGTCCTGTCCCTTGCAGTGAATGCTACCGCTGCGTTCCTCCAGCATGGAGGCGACGGGCGGAATCATGAATTCAATACAGTCACTTCTGAAGAAGAGACTCCCACGCCCACCCCTCCATCACGCTCGAATTCGCACTCCCATCATCACCATCGTCACAGCCATTTGGAGAGTCCAACTTCGCCAAAGAATCTGGCCAAAAGTGCAGGTATCGTTATTCAAGTAAACACAGACGACGATGGTGAAGCGAACGGATTCGAGGATACTGCTTCCGTTACTTCCTCATCTTCCTCTCATCCATCTCCTACGTCACCTCTTTCAACATCTTCCCACCCCCCACCTCTCGATCCCCTCGCAGCACTGGATGCCAACGAAGCACTCCGACCGCTCCGTGAACGTCGTGGAACAGTGCGCGTCTCCGGAAGAGGATACTTCTCCGATCGGTACGGATCTGGCAGCTCGGCACCAGCCTCTACATCTCGAATTAATCTTGGGCAGTACCATACTAATGGAGCAAGTAGGGTGAGCCTTGCAGTGAAGGATTGGAGCTCGAGGGTAGGTGGAAGGATCAGAGGATGGAGCAGGAGTACTTCGAATACGTTTAGTTTGTCGACTCCTTTCGGGACTCCTAAACCTATTCCGAGGCCCATGGGTCCTAGTGGTGTGTCTAGCAGCACAAGCGGAAGTGCAAGCGGGAGCGGGAGCGTTATTGTGGACCCTCCTAGTGACGACGAAAGTCCATCTCGCTCGCGGCGAGCTGAAGGGTTGACTCTCCCCCTGCTGCTCCGTCGACTAAATATCCCCCTGGGCTTGATAAGTCCCGATCAAAAGCGCGAGCCACATTGACGTAGCAAGTACGACAGCCTTAAATACCAGTGCGAGCGGTGGGGATTCGTCCCCAGAGAAGCACCCCGGAAGTCTTAGAGGCTTGAAAAGGTTGGAAATAGTGGAGATCGATAGGATGGAGGAAGGGAGAAAGTCATCAAGACTGGAGATTGGGTATGGCATGAGATGAACACTGGGAGATGTTAGCGACCGCATACTCGGTCGGTGCTCTCGCGCAAGCCCCCTTATGTGTTTTTCTGCCATTACTGCTGTCAGTTCCTTGGTTTCATTACCACCCCTCCCCCCTTCCTGCGCCCCGCGTGCAGATTACTTCTCTTGGGCGTATATACCCGTCACATAATCCCTATATACCTCTCTTCTTTTCCTTAGATTCGATTATTTTCACGGATTCACACTTTGGACATTTGTTGCTTGTGTAGTCAATCATGTATATGTACGATCGTACGAATGCATACTTCCCAAGGAGAGCGACTTATCAGGACACGAAAACATCTTTGCCAAGGGAATGACCTTACCGACTCCCTGGCGAAAGAAGGCACACTCCTGCCCTCCGACTAGCCTTTTGAATCATCGGCAGCATTCATGCGGGACATTGACAAACGTCGACTTGACCGCCTGGAATACTAATTTTGCAAGTGCATTGGGCCACAAATCTGCCCTTCCGGACCCTCAGCCGCAAAACATTTAGCTACCTGGTTCAATTACGCACCGGACATGCCTTCCTAGGCCAATACTACCAACGATCCTACCTAGCAAAGACCCGAGTTACAGCTGCGGCGCACCCATCAAGACACAAGAGCACATCCTTATGGAATGCCCTCTGAAGAGGGGATCAAGCGAGTGGCAGAATTCTTAAATGAGATCGGAGCATTTCAAAGAAAAAAACGCTACTTAGGAAACAACGGAGGAAAAATAACGCCCGCTTGCGTAAACCCCTCCCATTTTTTTGGCACCGGAAACACAATATCCGAACATTTGTAAGTGACGACTCACCAGGGGGATATGGTTTGGGGACGAATGTTGCCAGATTGTACTTATCTGTTGTTTATTTGCGTGTATTTTTCTCGACCCCCTGTCCTGTAAGTGTTGCAGTTAAATATCCAGAATAAAACAAACCAACGACGACGCACAGTATCGGCATTACTATATCTCTGTATTGACGATCAGCAAGCATATTCGCAAGATTAGCAAACAACCTCCACGATTGGATAGGTTCTCGATGGAGCAATCACATTTTGCAACAGTCGAATTCTTCGATCGTCGAATCGATCTGCCCCATACACGCGATTCATACGTTCAACCAAGGATTTGTGACCTGGAAATAGATCTATGCCATCTGTCGAGAGACAGACGGAGCTGATGGAGGCCCTTAGCTAGCCATGTAGGTTCAGGGCATTTTGATAATGTGCTAATTACCAGCATCTATGGTTTTAGGTGGGAATAACGTATCTGGTTGAACAGGGTAGTGGAATACATCCAAATTTCCTATATCCGCGGCTTTGTATCATGAAGGGTCATCAACACATAATGCCCACAGGTTTTCCGGATGGAGCGTCAACCGATTGATAACGTCCAGACTAACATATTTTACATCATGTCCTCCCCCCCCCCGGCTCCGCGTGATCTGGGACATGAGGAAGGAAGGTGCTTGGCAGGGTGAATGAGTAAGGAGTCAATCGGGGGAAATTCTTGGCTTCGGGAGGGTAGACATTGAGCTGGCGTCTTTTGGGGTGCCACATCCTTCACATCGCTTGCGCTAATACTTAGGAGGATGATAGTTATAAGTCGCTGGATTGGGGGGCCTATGCATTTACGTTCTTTCCCGTGGTGTAGGCGGAAGCGCATGGTGGCGGTTGGATGGGTATATGTGAGTCTTTCCCCTGGCTGCATGGGTATAATGTCTTATGGGGCTGGAATAGGAAGACGATGAGGATTTTGTCTTGACAAGGCAGTGGGGTTACCAGGGTGCCTTCGTGCTTTGCCAAGACCTCTTCGTGAGGGTCACTAGGAATGTTGATCCTACTATGCCTGATCTCAACGAGCCGTCAAGCTGGGGCACGCGCACTGAACCAGACGGCATCCCAGTGGTCGCGCTGGGGTAAAGAGTCTTAAGTCAGCATCACGGGTCAGTAAACCTCAGCCTCGCACACTCAATGATATGTTCCGTTCACCATCAGGGCAGCATTACGCTGTCATGGTCACATTCGCCTTTCCGGTCTCAAACACCACACAACTAGGAGAGCCAAGACACTCATTTCATTTCTTATCACACGATGACATATCCCTCGCGTGTCTTTCCGCAGTTTCTGTCATTTGTGGTACTAATCAGGACAAACAGCCACACGTTCTCTTGGCTAGTGTACAGAATTTGAAATAAATCGCACAGCAATGTTCTCGATCCAGACTCCAGATGCAGCGATCTGTTGGATGTTACACAGGTTTCTCCGCTGACCCTTCATTGTCCCTGGATAGGAGAAAACACATGAGGCTAGGACTCCCAAATATAGGAAGTCACTTTTGTGCCTGAGTGGCATCGCAATTTCCGCCCTCAAAGATTTCTGGAAGGTCAACTGCTTTCCCTTCGGCGTTCTTCACTTGCACCGGGACGGCATCGATTAGAACAAATGCGATTCTCGACCACGTATTACCACGATTAATCCACTGGTGAATGTTGCCTCGTTGAACGACCACAGTTCCCGGTTCCGTGAGCCTTCGTTCAAGGCCATCATCGAGAAGAAGGGTAATCTCCCCAGCAACTAAAAACAAATGTTCGAGAAGGGTTCTAATTGTGCCAACGATTGTTAGGGACTCACGAAGAATTCCGTAATCAAGGGAGTTGAGACGATGCTAGAGTTGTTGAGGAGAACATGAATGTACGTCGCCCGCAAGCGCAACCGACTGATGCGTGGTCACTCACAGTAGGTGAACCACCTCCAGGTGCTACGTCGAATATTATAAAGTGGGATCCCCCAGTTTGCGCCAAGTTGAAGCGATCGGGGACTATATCTTTGCGGTCAACACTTTGAGAAGCAAATCATTAGGTCTTAGATATGGGTTGAGAATAACTGGGCTTACCGTTCAACAGAGTTCTTCACGGGTGTTTCCTTCTCCACCCAGACGGTAGTTTTGACAGCGTCCTCCACTCCGGGCCCAACAGGGATCCTTTCAAGCTCATCATCCCAGATAATAATGGCTTTCCCCTCCGCGCTATGGCCAGTAACAATGCGCTGCGTAGGTTTCAGTGGGTTAGGAGGGATGCTCGTAGCCATTGTGCGTTGTTCGTTGCTGGAGGGAAACTCAATTAAGTTGCATTCTTCTTGCCCACAACTTGCAATGAACGTCGTCGAGGGGACTTACTATAGGTTCTCTGGGAGGATCCTGGTGATTGATAGTGACGCCAATCACTGCGAAGTTGCGAATGTGAACACCCCTTGAGGGCAATTCCCCAGTATTTATACAGATTCAGCGAATCACGAGATTTCTGGGCGTGGGAACTGTCACCAGCCTGTCAGAAGTCCATAGGCATTTGGGAGTCCGCGACATATGCATCGGCGCGCCAAATGAGACTTTCCTAAATGGTCTCTGTTGAATATGGTAAATGGGACCATCTTTTGAAGTGGCGCACACATTGATGTGTTGACCCTTGTGGTCTCGGGATCACCATGTTGGTGATGACTTATCTTTAACGCGGTGTTAATGCGAGATACCTCCGATACCAATTTTTCTTATTCCTATTTGCCTGATGTAATCTTATCATGGGTTGGACATATCTGATCTAGCACAACGTCACATAATCATTAGGACGAAGCTTACTGTAAATGTTCCCTTTCCCTCAGTCCTCCCGTGCGAGTCTGACCCTATGCCCTTTAGCTGCTGCTCAAGCTTTTATACTCATTATATTTCTATGCATGTAGTACGAGCTCGTGAAGCTATCTTCAGCATCAGTAACTCCTCAGGAAAGTATACCAATCCTAAAACTCAACTTTATACATATACGTGCCGCCTCCTAACAACACGCGCTCCCTTCCACCGAACTAAAAAAACGGGAACCACCGGGATGCAGGTCCAGGCTCTCTCTTCGTGGGATGCAAACAAGAGGAATGAGTGCTCGCAGCAAATTTGCTTAAATCAAATTTGCACTCGCGATTTCAACAAGTCCGTCTTCTCACACCCCGGCCAGCGGGATTCTTCGTGAATTAGGTCGGTGTCGGGAGAAAGATCAGGTATGTAGGGTCACCATAGATTGTGCCCTAGTTTATTGAGAGTAGTCATGACGCAACTGACATGGGCTCAGTTTGTGCCGCCACTGGATATGACAACAGCCATCTTCCCAAAGCACAACTTGACCTACACGCATTAAAAATTCTATCTTAGCCAATGGACCTAGCGGACCATGGGAACTGTGTAGAGTATGGGCATTATCCCGATGGACACAACCAAAACACGTCCTAGGAATCGTAGCTGTTGTGGAAGAGCTCATTGTGGCACAGCATCCAGTGATATGATGTGCAGTTCGAAAGGCCCCGATTGTTCCTGTATTGATGCAGAAAACTTTTCGGTTAACGGAAACAGAAACATTCATCCTTGACATACCCCAAAGTCACTTCGTGCCATAAAGCTGATTACCTTCACTTCCGAGGGGTCTAAAAGAGGCGCCTTGTCCCTCGGAACTTCTTTTCCACGATGAGTGGGCACGAAATCGGACCACGATGCACCTAAAGTAACCAACTTCGTCTGTCCCAGCACTGTTCGGCCCCCCAAACTCGTGTTCCACGATGCCATATCAATCCGATCACGAGCAGCTTCCAAAGCCGAACGGGACCAAGGGCTGGAAGGGTCCGGAGAAGGGCTGGATGGTTCGAAGGCCAAGTCGTAAGTGATGACGCTTCCCCTTCCACCATCTGGTTCACGTTGTGGAGCGTTGGTCTTGAAGCTTAGAACGTATCTCGTTACGGAATGAAGACCACCTCCAGGAGTGAAACTGGATGTTTTGGTGGCATCGACGCCACTAGGTTCGATTGGGACCAGAAGGGTGAGTTTGATGCCGGAGTGAGTCGAAGGGGATAACTCGGCTGGCAAAGGGCCATAATATGCATGAGAAGCGAAGCCTGCACCACGAAGGGTGGTTGTATCTGCTCAAGGATTAGACACTGCAGGAAGACCACGGCGCTCGAAATAGACATGCTGAATCACAGACAACTCACCAAGGAACCCTTGAAAACAGGCGGTATCGGCATGAGGAAATTTCACTACGGTCATATAAGACTTGCTGGTTCCTCCCTCCCTCACAGTGTCATCGACCGCACTAAAATAGGTCAGCGTCTCAGCCCATGAGCTTGACCTAGGAGGGAGGATGCTGAGTGTTGACATGATAGTAGGATGTACCAGATTTGACATTGGCGAGGACATCCACTTTATATCATAGTTGTTGGAAGGGAAGTACTCCTGCGGACCCGATCGATTCCGCTTGCGGCTTGGCGCAGACGTGGACATCGATCGTGAACGTACAGATTAAAACCGTCCTTCTATGTCTGCCAGCCTAAAATCTTCGTATTGTTGGAACATTTCATAAACCAGACAGGGGAGACAAATGCTGTGGGCATCTCACCTCGCTTGTCATTGGGAGGAAGTAAATATGTTATGTACATACATCAACGAGTGAAGAACACCTCAAGATGCGTGAGAACGCGTCCGGGGCACAAACCTGACTATTGGCATGGAAGCATGTGTGCAACAGAGCTTGCGTCCAGTGTTCGACTCAATATAGCTACTCATATCATGAGAATTCAGCGTCGATTGGATATGTGTGAGGGGAACACAAAGATAGGAGAGATGGCGGGCGAGACCGAGTCCCCATGCAAACGACAATTCCTAAACCAACCAATCTGCTTTATGACCGACCTAGACTTCGGTCTAAATCCCCATCTTCCTAGGTTCAGTCACATCGGCCCTCGGCATAATCCCCGAACTGCTTAACCGGTTGTGCTACCTTGGTGGAAACCGCTGGCTAGGAACTCCTCCGTAAGAGTAGATCCCAAGCAAGTCGTGGGGCTTTGGCTGGAATGGATTTTCAATCCCTGTACAAAGAAGTTAATGTCGCGTGCATTGAGACCACTCATGGAACCAATAGAGGGTGCAGGGAGAAATAGTAGGGAAAGCAGAAGACAAGCCTTGTCGTAGCCCATACAGCAGATGATGGAGGTCGGCATAACGATCATGCCGATGGACAGAAGCGAGATTCTTCCGAGGAATTCCCTTATAGCTGCTGTGGCTTCAAAGGGCAAAGTGTAGAATTCGTACTTCGGGAGTCCCTTCAAAGCCGCCGACGGGTCAAGGGTAAATAGTAAGCGACGACAACATCCCTTATATAGCTTTGGCCATTGGTCAACATACGCCTCGGAACCATAGTCTTGAAGACTGGGATGCACTTTGAAAAGATGAGAAGGGGACCACTTCTGCAAGGGTTGTGTTTTACGGAACTCGAGCAAAATGAGAATGGCTAATTTTGCTACCGAGTGTCGAGAGGCAGGTAGCTTGGAAGGTCAATTAAGGCCTTTAATACTGCCGGGAACCGATGAGAGGCTAGCAGTTGTATTTGTAATAACATGTTACGAGATATGGCGCTAATAGCTCCTAAGGGTTTTTAATCTAGCGAGGGAAATTTTACGTAGAACTTCCACGAAAGAGTGGGATTTCAACGTATAAGACCTTCTTGACCCCTCCACCTCATGATATATACCAACTAGCTATATACGGCACCAATTAGACTGCACCTCAGCCTCCGACCGTGGGCTCCAATAACAGTTGAAGAAGGATGTTGAGTGTGACAGCGGCTACACGTCATTCAGGGGTGAGAAGCCCAGCTCGAACTCCTTTGTATTATAGTTATGAGAAATAGAACAAGATTAAGAGATATGCCAACTTTGGCGCTGTTCCTTGCAGTGCTAGTCTCGCACTTCGCTTATCATGACACTGCTACCAAGAACACGTACACCCAATCATGCAGTTCAGCAAGAAGAACGGAGGGTCCGAGCACATATGTATATAATATAATAGAAATTGCCTGCTAATCCGTTGCGCAGGATGGTCACCACATGCAAGTAGCACTAGTACTGCAACAGGTGATCAAGCACGAGAGGTAGAGATCATTTGACGGTGTGCCGGCGATACTTGCACACTCTAAATTGAAAAGGAGGCTAACCATCGAAGCAAGTCAAGGTTGTAACGTTGGCTGTTTGACCATGACCCTTTCCCACATTTACCCGGGGCTGACCGAAAAGTCGTTCAACCCCGTTGTTCAAACATTGGCACCCACCCCTCGATTGGGACCTTGCATTATCAATGGATACACTGTTGGAGCTCTTAGATCCCCTTCCATCTCCTGCGCTCACGTTGACATCTCCAAATGACGCTGCGCGTCACGTTAAATATCTCACACTCAGAGATTTCGTGTCCGGTTTTAGGAACAAACTTGTGCAAGAGTTAGGCGTTCGCAAAGGAGATGTCATTGCTTCGTCGTTAGTCAATGGCCTGGAGTTTGTCGTGACATTTTTGGGGACTGGCATTGCCAGGTAAGTCCAAGCCCAATTCTGGCATCCACTGGTCAGATATTTAACCTCATTCAGAGCTATTGCAGCACCTCTAAACCCAACCTATTCCGTTGACGAAGTGAAGTTTTACCTTGAAGATACGAAACCAACGCTTCTCGTCCTCCCCGTCTTATCAACACTCTATCCAGGTTCGGGCATCTCAAAAGGCGCTCAAAATGCCTTACAAGCCGCAAAAGAAGTGGGTGTGCGAGTAGCGGAAATCTCTATACTTGAAGAAGATAGAGATATTTTGCTCAGAGTGATCTATCGGTCGGGGCTTTTTTCAGGTGTGAAGGATGCTGGGAGGAAATTGGCGACGGTTGGGGTGCCGATTAGGGGCACAAAGCTTTATAAGTATGAGAATCCTTCTCCAGATGATATCACGCTCGTCCTTCATACATCAGGTATGCATATTCTCTTTCATGCCCACGGACCCTTCGACTCTAACAATGTATTATTCACACCACAAGGAACAACTGGACGTCCAAAAAGTGTTCCCCTCTCCCACCTAAATCTAATCACAACGATGAAAAACATAACTCAAACCTATTCCCTCCAGCCTACAGATAAATCCCTCCTCGTTATGCCACTCTTCCACGTCCACGGTCTCTTAGCAGGTCTCCTCTCCCCCTTACGTTCTCGTGGGACTGTTGTTATCCCTACGCCCTCGCTCTCCGGCTCACCCTTCTCGGCATCGACGTTCTGGAAGGATTTTATCTCTGAGGGATGCACGTGGTACACAGCCGTACCAACAATCCATACCATCCTTCTGAACACCCCACTTCCGAATACCTTGCCCAAGATAAAGTTTATACGAAGCTGCAGTAGTTCCTTGAGCCCGAGTACTTTGAGGGCACTCGAGGAGAGGTTCAAGGCGCCTGTATTGGAAGCGTATGCAATGACGGAGGCTGCACATCAGATGACGTCTAATTTAGCTCCGTTCAGTCGTGTGAAGAGTGAAAAGGGAGAAGGAGGAGAAAGGGTGCCGGGAACCGTTGGGGTTGGCGTCGGTGTGGAGGTTTGCATCAGAGACGTGGGTAATGGGAGAGAGGTCAAGAGGGGTGAATTGGGCGAGGTTTGTGTCAGAGGGAAGAATGTTACGAAGGGATATTGGGCTGGCGAGAGTGTGAATAGGGAGGCATTCTGGGAAGGGGGTTGGTTTAGGTATGTCTCACGATTTTTGCGACAATCTGCGATGCTTGACAATGGCACCTTCAGAACGGGAGATCAAGGGTTCATCCAACCAAATCCACCCCACCATCTTCAATTAACAGGACGCCTCAAAGAACTTATAAATAGAGGGGGAGAAAAGGTATCACCTTTGGAGATCGATCATGCGTTGTTGGGGATCAAAGGTGTAGGAGAGGCTGTTGCATTTGGTGTTCCTGATGATAAGTATGGAGAAATCGTTTGGGCGGCTGTTGTGCTCAAGAGTGGCAATGCTGGTGAAGCGTTGGGGAAGAACGGGGATGAAGTGGAGAAGAGACTTCAAGGGGAGTTGGGGACCAAGTTGTCCAAGGTACGCTGGAATATCTCGGGAAGTGCTGGATGGCCTGCTGACACGGCTCTCTTGGGTTGATCAGTTCAAAATTCCCACCAGGATCCTCGTTACGGAGTCTATCCCGAAAACCGCGACAGGAAAGGTACAACGTAGGCACGTCCGAGATGCCTTTTTGGGTCGGGAAAAACGGTCTAGCGCTGTCAAGGCGAAGTTATAGGGATTTCTTGTCATACCGCGAAGCTCGGGTCCTAAAATGTATGCTGTGGAGTTTGATCATAATTAGGTCAAGGTTACAGATGGATTCCTCTTCCGTCATAACCTATGGCAGTTGTCCACACATGGTGCCGGATCTGTTAAGAAATAGCGTGTACCGATGAAGCACCACTTTCACCTTCTTGACCGTTCATCTTCGTCGTTATTACTCCAACAATGTCTTACACTTTGTCCCCCATTTCCCTTCTAAGTGACCAATTTAACTACGGTATCATAACTATCATACATCCAACAACCTCGAGCCTGACGGGAAACTCCGAGTCAAACATTCCGATTGGGTTTCTTGAGCCTTCTTGTGCAGCAGCGCCTCTCTAAAGTTCCTGTAACTCAACCACTCGTCCTTGGACGTAATACCCACTGTATTTCCGGTCCTCAGCCTGTTTCCAAAATCCTTTGCATGGATTGTTTCGGTTGAGATTTGCCAGAAGGGGCCCGTTATCCCCGAAGCAGAATTGACCCGTTGTTAGAAATTCCTCGGCCGCACCGTGAGGCAGGGCCGGAGAGCTCGGTATCAAGGTCGATGTCCGACAGTCTGATAACGCGTATCAGAGAGGCAAAGACTACGCGTCCCACTTTGACTAAGTACTGGACACCGAGCTATAGGCGCGGGCATGCAGGAACCAAAACACGAGACCCGAATGGAACATGTAAATCCGTGCAATGTCGAGATGGGTTAGGGGTAAAGGGCCTTCCGCCCCCTGACAAGGTCTAGGGGTTTAATCCACCCTAAAAGTCAGATGCAAACCCCAAGCGCATAAACTTGAAAGACGACTTGGGCAGGAGTCTGGGTGGAGCTTAGATCTATCGATCTTACGTTCAACTAGGTCAATAGAAGTTGGAAAATCACAGCTCCGTCACCATGCATTTATGGGACCCCCCCTTCGGGAAAGAAGTCTGCTCCCACGAAGTAAAGTTGTCAGATAGCAGGCACATTACGTACCTGGCCTCCTATCGACTGTCTTCGAAGATGACCAGTCTTAAAGACGCAAAGAATCTCGTGACATTCTCCTATCTCTATTTTTTTCAGCGGTACTGGATGAGTAATTTCATCAACTCTTGGTTCGCCATGCTACCCTCTCACTTCTGGCTGCCATTCGTGCTACATGTGACTCATTCGTGGGATCTGTCTTCTAGTCCTGAAACCTCCTCCTAATGGGGTTGTAGCACCACCTCTCCTTATTATAGCTACTGCAGGATCCTCGGCGACGTTGCAGAAAGTGCAGACATCTCACCACCCGCTTTGAGACCCTACACTGGCTAAATACCTTCGCTGGAACGGTGCTCGACCCTCTCTCAGGCTCGTGCTCCTAAGCATTCCCAGATTCGAGAACATACCACCGCTTTTCACAACTCGGCTGCAGGAGCTTTGCCATGAAACCTGAGTGACAGACTTATATCAACTTCAAACTGAGCAGCTTATTGATTGGTTGCTCAGCGCCGCTGAAAGCGTGCGTTCAGCGGCACCTCGCTCAACCAATGTTTATTCGAATAGTAAACAACACAATTCAGATCTACTTCCGAAGAACTATTCCCCCCGGTTTGGCTCATGATTCCTTTGAAACTTACAGGCGCACTATTCTCGCTCTGGCGACTTGATGGACTTCTACCACTGCGAAAAACTGATTCAAGTGGGGCGAACCCTCAGGAGTGGGCTGGTGTTCCGATGACTGTCAAATGTTACATTGTTATTTGGCCAAAAGCATCGCATATTCGTTGAACCGTGTACATCGACCGGAAACAAAGTAGAACTAAGTCTTGGTCAGCGATTTCCTCCAGCTGCTATAGGGCTTCCTTCCGCTACTATGCTTCGCTGAGGCTCTGACCACCAAAAATCATGTATGAACTTGGTATCTAGGAAGTCCCTTTGCTCCACGACTTTCCCGCTGGCGTTGAAGCGGAACCTGTGTACGTATGA